GTGTTCAATAATTTTCACAGCTTTATTTTTCTTTGTCTTTCTCTTTTTTATTATTGTATTATTGTTTTTTATTGGCAAAACATTGAAGGTATATTAATGCTATATTTTGATGCAAAACTTATGTTTGTGACCGCGCCTTGTGCTTGTCCTACGTATCTCTCCAAGTAACTCTATCGAGGGGATGGGTAGGAGAGAATCAGGTCTTTCTAGTTTCACTTTCTTGGGATGCGAACTCAAGTGCTCGGCTGGTCGCTGAGTCACGTGTTTCATTTTATTCTCTGAAAATTTATTAACTTGTTCTTCAAACCCGGAAATACATTTCCAACGGTCGACGCTAAGATAATGAAAACTATTTTGGCCTTAAGGGTGCCGGAATTCATCTCCGACTTGATGTTAAGCGCGGGAATTCCTTTCCGTCTTGGTGCGAAATTTATTTCGAACTTGCTGTTGGGGGGCAAAAAATTCCAATTCGCCTTAATGCTGATTGTGGAATTCATTTCCGTTTTGATTTCTTTTAGGGATTTCCTTCCCGACTTGATAATAATACAGAATCAATTTCGTGACTTGATTCCTTCGCGGGATTCTTACCCGGGCTTGATGGTCTTATGCGGGATTTCCTTCCTGACAGAGATGTCTTTGCGGGATTCCTTCAACCGACCTTTGATGTTGATGCAGGAATTCATTTGCTGCCCTTGATTTCTTCGCCAGGATTTCTTCCATGGTTTGCTGTCTATTCGGGATTCATGCCAACTGGATTGTCTTTACGGGAATCTTTTCCCGAACTTGATGTTGATGCAGAATTCATTCTGACTTGATTATGTAATCGACGAGATTTCTTCACGGCTTGATGTTTTTGCGGGAATTCCTTCCCGATGGATGTCTATAAATGGGATTCTTTTCCCGACATTGATGTTGGAGTGAGAATTTCATTTTGACTTGATTCTCGTTCGCGGGATTTCTTCTCGGCTTGATGTTTTGCGGCGTCTCATTCAAAATATATCTTGCGACGTTTCGCAGTAATGATTGAGTTGAAATC